CCCTTGAACTTGACCTTTGACCTACTTTTCAAAATAGTTCATTATAGTGCCGATATACAACATATTTTTGACATTTAAGAGACAAGTCTATGTTATTTAGCATGACACTGTACTTTGAAACTGCATGACATAAAGTTTCCAAACAAACTATGAGGATATTCCAAAATGGATCGTTGTCACAGTAAAGACTTTTGGGGGATTGTGAGAAACACATGATAAATAATTAATTTTGATAATTTCAATTTCATTATTCATTTTAGCTTTAAGGGTTGGGAAATCATATTTCTATTTGATTGTCAGATTCTATCGCAGTCTTACTATCAGTGGATTTTTTTTCTATGCAGACAAATGCATGAACTATAACGTTAGTAGACCACTCTTAGATTTATTTTATTCATCTTTAATGATGCTGTAAAGCAGGCGACAAACGAATTCCTTGGAACACTCTAGTTTACAGTAAACGTCGATTCATGTGTTAAATAAATATAACGAGTTTCTCTGATGATATAAATATTTATGTCTCTGATCAATTATAAAATCTAAATCAAATTTTTGTGAACATGCCCCTTTTTTCTATATACATAACTACCAAATTCCTTTCAAGACCACAATGTTTCATCAATCAACAACCCAGCTTTGAAACCTGATAAATTTTTGGTATGGACATGAAATGTTTATGGACACGATTGTTGACAGACATTACATATCTCCCTCCATGAACCCCAAATAAAAATGTTTGTAAGAGGACATAGTAAAATGGCCTTAATATGATATTAACAAATAAATTGATAAAACAAAAATATCAACAGTCTCGTTTTAAGTTAACATTTCGAATGTTGACTAACTGTTTTCATACAAATTGTTAGTCCATTATTTTCACTGAATTGTCTACGGATTTTTCCGTTTGCCCGATCATGACAAGGAGCACACGGCTAGTGTGACCGGTCAAGAGGAGATACTTACTCCTCCATGGCACCTGATCCCACCTCTGATGTTTTTAGAGGTCTGTGTTTGCTCTACTCCTAATTTTATTGTTTAAATGGACTTTTGAGCTTGATTGTTCGTTATCTTCATATTTCATACATGTATATGCACCTTAAATTGAACGATAAAGTTAAGTGACTGGAAACTATCGCTTTTAGGGATAGTTTACTCTCTTTGAAGCGTTGATTCCGAAGAAGTGAAAAGGTCAAAACATAAGTATAAACAAAAACACTTAAATGATTAGAAAGGGATAATAATTTCTCACTAATCAGATAATCAGTAATGAGGGAAATCAACATCGGTCAGTTACTCTTTTGCAACAGGAGGGGATTCGCAACCTGTCAGAACCTGTGCCTATCAATTTCCATTCAAAGCGGTCGATAGCTTTCCCCTGGTGCCATGTTTGGGACTCAGGTTCCATGTTCGTAAACAAACTCTGCAATGACAACAATACCTGTTTTCAGTTTCAAGGCTACCCATCTGAAAAGTTGTCAACAAACAAATTATATACATTTAAAAAAGTTCTAAAAATGCATTCTTTCTACACAATTGTGAAATAATAATAACATATATATAATTATTCTCTTCAAAAATTTAAAGTCTTGGATCAGATGACCTTTTGCTATCTGTTTCTCTCTGTCGTCGACAGGGTGTGCCTTTGTCACCTTTCAAATATCTTCGCTTTCTTCCCGTGTTATTAGTTAAAAAATATAAAAAAAAAAGTTTATTTGTTTGGGGATGAATGGTTTGGTTGCAACATTGCAGTCGCAGTAAGCCTATTACATAATTTTTTTGAATAAAGAAAGGCATACATTTTGTGTTTATATTTCTACATTGGTTTCAGAATTTTAAGGTCATATACAAAATTGTGTAGGGTTCAAGAACAGAGGTGGTACTAAGCTGACTATACACTAGTCTTAGAAATGCACGATTTCTTTAAAACTCCTTTTTTTCTTTTCTTTCCTTTTTTTTTTATAACTATTATTACCTTAGTAAGGATATTGTGATAAATAATATTATATTGTAAAATTCCTTGTCTACTTGATTGTATCATTCAGACCCGAGAGTGGGGCTATGCAATGCTTTTTACCTTCGTTACTTCTAAACATCTAACAGGCAGGAATGTTTATATGAATAAGCTGAACATAGAAATTTTCTTTACATTTTATATGAATAAACCGAACAAGCTATTCTCCAAAATTGTTAATTTTAATCCCATGGGTGCAATACTCAGGTCCACGGTGGGCATGTTTATCATTGAAATTTCCACTTCCTTTACATCTAAAAACCCTAATTATTTTGTGAAAGGAACATTGTGATAATTTTGAGAAGACTAACCCTGTATTTAAACGGACAGAGCTAGACTGATCATATATTGGAAATAAATTTCCGATTTCTCAAAGCCTGTTTTTATAATTATATTGAGGAATAATTTGCTATTGCTATTAATATTATCATTTTTAATGCAAGACCTTTGGATTTTAGACCCAGCAAAGGCCGGACTAACATGTCCCCAGAAAGTTTTCCAAAATAGACTTATCTTTCAGTCCCAGTTTTTTTAAATTTTATGTTCATGTACATAAAATGATACCCACATGTTCTGCAAATAAAATAAGAGGCCTACAGTTGATGAATGTTTACTCACCAGTCAGTTCTACACGACTTTGAGACATGGAGAAACATTTTATGCTTAAACTACGTGAAAAATTGTTCATGACTGAGGGTATGTCGCAAGAATGATTCAAAGCCATTTGGAGAAAGTTAACGTCTCTGCAAGGGGAAAAATTGTAATTTTTTTTTTTATTGGGCTATAATTTGGTAGCAGAGGAAGATAAAACACTCTTTGTTTACAAGAAGAAAATTATCAAATTCTTGTCTGGGCCATAAATTTGTACCTGAGCAACATTAGGACCCTATACATGACACGCAAGGTATACTCGCTTCTTGGTTGCGCTCTTAAACTCAGGTGACCACCAAGGCCTATAGGCCTGTTTGAAAACCAGTCAGAAAAATAGCAATAAAATGTTATTTTTCAGAAGTTCACTGCTGTGTTCCAATATATATATATATATATATATATATATATATATATATATATATATATATATATATATATATATATATATATATATATATATATATATATATATATATATATAATTTTTCAAAAGAAAATGTCGGTAGATACAAAACAATGCTTCATAGAGTTGATAGTCATAACACATTACATAAACTCTTAATAACACTATTTAATTTTTTGTGAAGTTTATCATGATATAATGGATTACAGCATTACATATGGCATTTAGAAATCCTGAAATACATTTCTTCGTGTTGAATTATCTTGAGCTCTTTGTCATTTATGATTTAATCATAAGGCGCAAACTCAATAAAGTACGAACCAACAGATGTTTAAAATGCTGTAAAACCTCCATCATTTAGCACTTTTTTTGTTTGTTTTATAATAACTCTCATCTTGTAGGTAGTTAACCGAACAAAAATTTTGGAGACTTTTAACTGTTCTCAGAAAAGCAGAGCATTGAATTTCTGTAAAAAATCCATCTTACCGATCTAATCAAAGAAGCCAGATGTTAATTTATCAAATAAATATAAACATCATTAAGATATTCAATTGTTAGAAAGGAGCCTCGCATAGTTAGAGAAAATAAACGCCAAAAAGCGAAATGTGTAAAACCTCAGCAAAACAAGCTAAGAATCTGTCAAAAAGTATAATTACTGGTAATTAGAGGATGGGGATTTCCCAAATCTCCTCCAGCAGGGATCTATCATCTTAAGCATGTTTTTGATTGTCTTAATCACGGGATGCTAAATATCAAAGACGACGTGATTCACACAAATACAGTGTGAACTGTGAAACATACGAATTCACACAGATATATACAATACAATATACAACTGTAAAATGTATATTTTGATAACAAAACAGTTTCTATAACTGTGAAAAATAGTATACTGAAATTGATGGGTTTCGTGTGTGGGAGCAACATTTATTTAAACTTCCGATTTTGCAGAAAATGCTTAGAAAGTGGTACCCATGTCTTATAAATCAAAATATTCATTATCGATGTTTCATAGATTAGGTTCATTTTTCTTTAATTGTAAAAAAAAAATAAAATTACACCACAATTTTAAAAATGCAATTTAATTTTAAGGAATAAAAATAATCTTACGGCGCACGACGTAAAAAATAAACAAGATTTACATCAGTGCTAAAGATGATGCATGCTTCTAGAAGATAAAATAAAAATTACCTATATGCAGCATTTACTGTGATATAAAAGAAAAAAAAATAGTTTTCTTCAAATCAAGCTGTTTTACATCATATATCGGTCGGGCGGACACAAAGTTACGTGTGAATTTCCTTTGAACAAACACTCTACGCTAAAAGATGCACTGTCGATGATCGCATACTTTTTGCTCCGCTATATAAAAAGGAACAAATGTCATTGAGCGCAAGGTTCTGTTTATAATCGGTAATCATATTTGGTTCATATTTCCTTCCCCATGGAATACAGCCATTGAAGAAAACACACCTCTCTGGTTTCAGAAACATGTGGGGACAGCTCAGTCCTGTTTATTTATAAAAGAGAACCTTACCTTGAACCCCTCAATTCGCAAATCTGTTATGAAATTTAATCTATAAAAATCTACAGGGCATTACGAAATATGATATCTATTTTTTACTCTAGAGATTAATCGGCATCTGGGGACTCTTAGCAAGTTGTATAGCATCCCAAGAGAGATAACTCTGAGACTGTCAGATGTACACAGTAATGATATCTCTGTCTCAGAACGAGTTCACTGCCCTTTAGTTCATCGATTAATTCTACTATTTGCCATGATTATGTACTCGATAAACCCAAAGCCTGCATTAATTTTTTTTTTTTTTTTTTTTTTTTTTTTAAATCTGTATTTACAATAATCAACCTGTTTATTTTTCCTCTCTGCATATTACACTAGAAAGACATCTATTTACATTGCAATATTTTTTTTTTAAAAAAAAGAAGCATTGTATTTTATCACAATATATTGTTGCTAGATTTCAACTTGATACAAAACAATTTGGATAGGTTAAATTTTCCATTCCATACATCGATTCCATAAATGTATTTATTTCATGTTCACTATCTGAATATCCACATATATCATTGAGGATTTTATGAATAAAACTCAATAATTTGCATTTGTACTGATCCAAAAGACTTTCTTGAAATGCATTAGTTTTTAGAAAAGGATTCCTTTTCTCATTTACTATTGAAAATGGTGACTTTTTCTTCAGAAAAGACCTGATCATCTCTAATATTTCCAAAATACTGGATTCTGTCAATGGTAACATTGCTTTTGAGTCCAGGGAAAAGTTTTCATCAACTACTAGAGAAAGCTGTGATAAAATGTCCATGATGTCTAATTTTGACCTCACATCAGGTAACATTTCCTTTCCAATGGTGGCAACTTTTTTATCTGTATCAATGTGAGTTTTTGAGTTGTCTCCCTCTTTGGATTGAAGTCTGTTAACCTGAACCATACCAAGACAGTACTTCAGTAGAATTTGGTAAAACAAAACTTCCTCCCTAAAGATATTCATTTCACTTTTGTCAAACAGCCTCTCTGCACCCTCCTGAAAAAGGAAAAAAAAGAAGGCTTTTAAGGGTTACAATGCTCATGCAAGTCACCATTCTTTTCCATGTTTTACATGTAGGTAAATAATATAAACCCTTACATGGTCACCAATTTAAAGTCTATTGTTTCTACAATTTCATTTACAGTATATTGGGGCTTAATATCAACTTCAACAATTGTGGCCCTCTGCTAGTCTTTGCTTTAGTAATGCAATAACCAGACCTCTTAGAATTTCAGTATGACATGGCATATTTAAGTGTCAAAATCTATTCAAATTCTTACTGAACTTTTTAAAAAAAAATCACTTGAGATTGCAAAAAAGGTTCAACTGATCTAAAATTCCAGCTACATGGCTTTCAACTCAAGCAGGCCAGAGTCATGGTTGAGTGATTATCTATCGTATATCTATTTCTGGAGATTATTTAAATAAATTTAAAACAAATTTAATCATGATTTGACTCCAGTAGTAGATCAATCAAAAATTTGAGTTTCTTTTTCCTTTTCAGTATATATTCCAGAGAAAAATGAGACTCCCTGTTGTGGCACTAATCTTGGCCCAGGGACCATGACTTGAACAAATGTGCATCCACACTACATGGAAATGCTTAACCTGACTACTTATACTCTGCTGTTGTGTAGAAAAAGCTTTTCATAGAATTTTGTCTTAACATCCCAACATAGAACTTTGAACTGCCATTGTGGCCACTCCCAATCCCCAAGGGCCATGTTTCAACAAAACTGATTCTTCACCACATAGAAATAAGTATTTGTTAATATGACCTGTTGAAGCCCTACTGTTTTTGAAAAGAAATCATTTAAAGATTTTACCTATATATGAGTAGATAACTTTGAACCTCTATTAAGACCACACCCTAGACCAGGGGGTTATAATTTGAACAAATTTGAATCTACACTATAAGAACATGCTTCCACTTTAAGATAACTTATTGTAGACCTGTATAAAATGTAATCTTTTAAAAAAAATAATTTTTGCCTCATGAATATATGACCTTTAATTGTGGTCTCACCCTAGTGCTGGGGGTCATAATTTGAATAAATTTGAGTCAACACAAGTAAATGCTTGTGAATTAATATGACATAATGTTAAACTGAATGAAGGGGAAAATATTTTCATAATGATGCTTTTTAGGCTTATTACAATAATCAGAACTACTTCAAACTAAAAAAAAAACAAGTACCTGTTCATTTCTTGTCAAAATCGTTTTGTAAATTGAATGTAAAATTGTATCGTGTGACCACCCCACCAATTGACTCCAATCGACTTACCTGAGCAAGTCGAATGAAAATCAAATGAAAAATCACATCGTGTGACCGCACCTTAATGTGCCCCTACACATTTACAACCTCACCCTAGTTCTAGGAACCATGTTTTGAACAAACCTGATTCTACACTACCTTCTTTATATATTAATGATTAGTTGTGTTATTGCTGTTCATCAGAAGATGTTTAAAGATTTTTCTGAAGTAATAATTCAAAGAAAATTTGACTCTTAATTGTGGCCCAACCATGGCACATCAGGTGATGTTTTGAAGAAACTTGTATCTAAACTACCGGTACATATGCTTACATATCAATATGACTGATACTGGTCCAGTAGTTCTTGAAAAGCTTTTTAAATGACCTGACTGAGGTTTTAATACAATATATTTCTTAATTATATCCCCTCCAGAAAGGGCATGGCTCTTCATATGATCAGATGATAGTTCCCTTCACCCAAGGATGTTTTGTGCCAAAACTGGTTAAAATATTCGACCAGTGATTCTGAAGAAGTAGAAAACATCACATAAAACAATACAGACAAACACTTCTGGATCAGAAAAGCTCACTAGATCCTTTGGTTTAGGTGAGCTAAAAATGTATCAGTTTTAAAATCAAGCATGATTTAAATTAAATGAGTTCCCTCTAAAGTAGTAAACAATAAGACTACAGATTGATTCCTGAGATTATATTACATTGACACCTAAAATAAAGTACACTGCTATGGCTCATGAAACTACCTCCAGTAGCAGTAAATTAGGGCATTTCATTACAAGTAGTTACCATAACCCTGATATTTGCAAACCCAAGTAAGTGTCCTGATTAATACTGTGATATTTTGAATGTCTTTATTAGGAAATTAGAGTCCAACAGTTGAAGGACTCTATGCTCTACTTTAAGACTTAAACACATCTCCTAAACAAGAGGCCCATGGGCCACATCGCTCACCTGAGTAACTTTGGCCATGCTGTTCTTTACCAGATTTCCCCCTTTTAATATACCTATTGTGGCCCCGCCCTACCCCCAGGGGTCAAAATTTGAACAATTTAGAATCTACACTACCTCAGGATGCTTCCAAATATGTCTCAGCTTTATTGGTCCAGTGGTTCTTGAGAAGAAGATTTTTAAAGATTTTTCTTATGTATTTCGATGTAAAACTTGGATTCCCTATTATGGCCCCCTTCCCCCAGGGGTCATGATTTGAACAATTTAGATTCTACACTACCCCAGGATGCTTCAATATAAGTTTCAGCTTTTCTGGCCCTGTGGTTCTTGGGAAGAAGATTTTTTTAAGATTTTTCTTATGTATTTCGATGTAAAACTTGGATTCCCTATTATGGCCCCGCCCTACCCCCGGGGGTCATGATTTAAACAATTAAGATTCTACATTACCCCAGGATGCTTCAATATAAGTTTCAGTATTTCTGGCCCTGTGGTTCTTAAGAAGAAGATTTTTAAAGATTTTTCTTATGTATTTCAATGTAAAACTTGGATTCCCTATTGTGGCCCCGCCCTACCCCCGGGGGTCATGATTTGAACAATTAAGATTTTACACTACCCAAGGATGCTTCAATATAAGTTTCAGCTTTTCTGGCCCTATGGTTCTTGAGAAGAAGATTTTTAAAGATTTTTCCTATATATTTCAATGTCAAACTTGGATTCCCTATTGTGGCCCCGCCCTACCCCCGGGGGTCAAGATTTGAACAATTTAGATTCTACACTACCCAAGGATGCTTCCATATAAGTTTCAGCTTTTCTGGCCCAGTGGTTCTTGAGAAGAAGATTTTTTAATGACCCCACTCTATTTTTGTCTTTTCTTGATTATCTCCCCTTGTAAGGGGACTTAGCTCTTTATTTTAACAATTTATACTCCCCTTCACCCAAGGATACTTTGTACCAAGTTTGGTTAAAATTGGCCCAATGGTTCTTGAGAAGAAGTTGAAAATGTGAAAAGTTTACAGATAGACGGACAGACGGACGGACAGACGATGGACATCGGGTGATCAGAAAAGCTCACTTGAGCTTTCAGCTCAGGTGAGCTAAAAAGCAGTAATTGAAAGAGTTTTTCTTAACTCTGTCACTGAGCAATGATAATTTATACTGTGTTTTAGCCACAGCTTTGAAGCCCCTGATATATATATAAAGGGATAATAAAAAAAGAACTAAACTGTGTACTTGACATACACTTGAGGATTCGTTGTTAATGATCCATGATATCAGAGTTTTGAAGCAGTTAACTCCCTTCGTTCCAGCATGCATGTATACAAAGGACCTCACCAAGTAATCCAAGGTCAAGGATGGTTGGACAGCTGAAAAAATCAAAAAGAGAGGTCTATACATTGTATCTGTACTTTTTAATTGCTATCTCTTTAGAATTTTTTTAATGACAAAAATCAATACATAACTCAGTGAATAAACCTTCTTTCTATAGTGTAATAAGTGTATATTTTATAATGCCAATTTTAGTTTTTTCAAGCATGCAGAATCCATAAAAAATGACTGTTTTAATTACATGCAGATGTATTTCAAGATAATATGATTTATCCACTTTCTTATTAGTGAACATTAACCGATTTTAAACCTTTATCATTTCCCAGAAGTAGCAGTGTCTTGGTGATGACCTCTCTGACCTCAGGGTCATCCTCCTGTTGTAAGTTGGTCAACATTTCCCAGAACTCAGACATTTTCTTAGTTCCTGATGTAAATTAAAAATATTTTAAAGAGTTATTCAATCATAGAAAATCTATTAACTCTTTTTCGTCCACCTTAAAATATCCACGATATGATGTAGTGGAGGTATACCTAGAGAGGAATGAGAGTTTTTGAGGAGACAGATGGAATTACACTGAATCACCATGGCAACAGAGAGTTGAAGGTCAGTAATTTTCTCTGCTCCCACACTATCTCTGAGAATGGCCATCCAGGAATCAACAGGTTCCATGCAATCTTCTGTCTGTGAACAACACAGGAATCTTTAAACCTCTCACAAAAGATTATTGGAACCAGACACACAATAGGTATTGAAAAATTTGGATCAATGGCATGAAAGTTTGCAAGATATGAATTTTTTTTTCACACACATATCTTTATAACATCAAATATGCATTCAAGAGACATATTTTCCTTACCCAGTTTTTTAGAACATCTGCTATCATCCAACGAGTAAACCTTATCACAACTGCCTTAACTTCATCCCTTGAGAATAGAAATTCCTTATTTGTAAAATATGAAAATTTATTCTGACGTTATTTTCCTTCATATTTCACAAAATGAACAGTTACATGAACTTCTGTTTTTTCCCCTAAATTATTGAATAAACTTTTTTATCTTAGATAAGATAAGAGAATTTTGAAATAAAATAATTCATACCTTGAAGATGACTCTATCACAGTCAAGCATTGCTTTAAGACCTTATGAAAAAGGAAAATAAAATTGTGATGGCTTTGCTTGAGTTACATTTCACTTTAACAAATAAATACAAAACATGTACATGGATAAATACAAGGAGTTGTCAAAAGTTTGTGGACTAGCACCACCAAATATAACAAGCTTAAGGTACATCAATGATTTATTTTTACACATTTAGTTAGCACCATCTTTTTAATCTATAGAAAAAACTATAAATTATACATTTCATTTTTTAATAAATTGTCATGTTTTTGTAAACAATGGTATGACCAACCAGTGCAACCTCAAAATACGACATATATTTACCTGGGACTAACAGAGAAAAACTTTTTAATATGAGCATTTGTCATCCAATAATCACGTTAATTCACTTGTGTGGTGTGACACAATTGTTCTGTTAAATTTGCAATTTTTACCTCATTCTATAATTTCAATGAAATCTTATCATAAGTTTTGTATAGAATGCTCAAACAAAAATGATGCCAGAAAGGGGAGATGCCTGTTTTCCCACATTCTATAAATTTCACCTTTGAAAACCTAGCATAGACTTCAGCTAGAGAGAAATAAAATGTGTTCAGTTTACCTGTTTTTAAATGTCGTGAAAGATTTGGAGGGAAGAGATGCACATTTAATGCCTGTTTGTAGTCCGGATGTCAAAGTCAGCTACATCAAGAAGTGATGTTGATTTGTAGTTCGGGTGTCCAATGTCAATTACATCAAGAAGTGATGTTTATTAAAATAATACAATCAGTCATTCATGACATTGTAAAGTCATATTTATAAACAAGTTAACACCAGGAAATCTCATCAATAAAAATGTTTAGAGGCAGAGGGAGCAGACATTGAGAATCAATGGCACAGTCGAACATCTAAAACTGTGGGTGACAATATGTCTCTTGTATTTGAAGATAATTTGACCAATTATCAAAGTATAAAACTAACATTTTCACAACTTCAACGTTTATTGTTTTACAATCCTTATCAGTTTTGTAAGCAGAGCCTACATAATATTGATTTTATCGCACCAGTCCACAAACTTTTTGATAACTCCTCGTATCTGTATATATGTTTGTTATATTTTGTGAAGACAAAAAATCTGAGATAATTAGAATCTACTATGAGTAGCATCTATCGTGCAAAAACTGATTGAAAAATGTTAATTTTCTTCATGATGGTAGAATCCGACAATTGAAAATCATTGACAAGTCATGCTTCTCTTACCAGGAAACCAGCAGTGAGTTTCTAATCATTTAACAATGGAAAATATAAAATATTAAAATGTATGATGTACATAGATATTCAATGTACCTGTCTTGAATTTTCATTAATGCCGATGTCTTTCCAATCTTTTTTTCTCAGCAAGGGATGTAAATCTAGAGCCTCAAAAACCTGAAAATCAGATCTCATTTTATCTTTCTCCTGATACTTATAAATATCAAATAAATGTACTCTTGTCTTCATTTCTTAATCCAACTCAAGTTTATTTCTTTATTTCTCAAGTGTAGGTTTATATCTGAAGTCTATTATTATTATGTTCATGCTGTGGGTTATTCTTTATCACTGAAAAAATTGTTCCATATCTTAGAAGACTTCTACCTTAATCTGACATTCAAAGTGCTGCTCCTTATACAAAGCCATGTTATACAGAGAAGGCAGTAATGACATCAAACACTCCCTGGCAGCAGAGGACAGTGGTGGGAAGGGTGCCTGCTTCCAAAGCTCTTCCTCTCGAAACAAAGATATCAGCATATCCAGAACCACCAGTCGAACCTCGTATATTTCAGAGGCTAACAGTGCCTGTAATTTTCTTAGAATTTCAGATGAAGACGTGGAGTTTTTGAGTGCTAATTGGAGGTCCATTTTGGTGATCACGGTGAGGTACTCTACAAATCCTGGACTGGAACAGAACTCTTTTTTATCGTATATTCCTGATAAAAATTCTTCAGACAAGGTTTGGCACAACTTGCTATTAATGTCTGTAGCAATTTCCCCAGTTTCTTCCTCTGGAAACTGCCTCAAAACTAACAGGACTTTCTCTGACACCTCAAAGGCTGCTTTTTTTGTTAAGTAACATGGATTTTGTCTGTAAGATAAAATGTTCATGCTTTGAGCATTTAACCTTTATTTCAAACACTGTATACTAGGAATTTTTTTTTTTGCTCCATGTTATTATCTATCATACACATTGAAATTCATTTTTTCTCCAGTCAAATTTTCTTAGTTATTTTGCTTCTATAGATTTCATAAATTACATGTACCTCTTCATCATACCACTTGCAGATACAGTTTAAAAATTATGCATAAAGAATATAAGGTAAGAGCAAGCTAAAATGAAAAGACCAAGTCCCAATATACAGTCTTTACTTATGAATTTTTGTTAAAATCAGAAATCTGACCTGCTGAGCAGCCACATTTTTTCCTTCCATAAATGCAATCCAGACTCCGTGCAGTTTATTCCATCAGGCATTGTGAATGCCATGTCTAGGAGGTTTGAAATCTAAAAAATTAATGAAGGCTTTATTATTCACCTGAGTATCTTGCTGCAACTTTTTCAAGGAAAATTCCTTATACATAGGCCCTCTCCTTATTTCTCAGTTTCAATTCTTCACTCTAGCCCTACCCTGAAGCCTACAACAAACCTAATTTTGGTAGAGATCTCTTTGTTCAAAATAATCACAAGTTTACATAAATAAACACATCTTCAACACATGATCAACATAGCTTATACATATCAGCCCATTACGAATTTCTCAATTTTGGTAGATGGCTAACCCAGGGGCTTGAACCTAAACAAAAGGGTTGTGAATTTAATAGAAATGTTGGTAAAGAGTAAATGGCTCTTCCTAATCATGGAAACAATGTACTTGCTAGATGTCCATGACTTTAAATTTTGAAAGATGTCATGTTTTCCCAATATATAAGTAACTTGGCCCCACTGTGGAGTCTGAACCCTAAACTAGGGATACTCATAATGATCTCTGAGTAAAAATTTTGAAATATGCAGTGTGTTTTCAATACATGAATACATTACCAGGAAATTCAATAATTTTTGGCCCAATCTTAGTGTTTCCATGGTGACTAGGAGAAACATATTCATAATTTTTATCTCCTTTACTTTTAGATACAATACCAATATCTCTTTGGTTAAAACAGTTCAGCCATACATACATGTAGAAGCTGAAAAATTTATTCACTTCACGCTTTACATAAAAATTAATAAAATTTACTTCATATTACAATTCATTTTATCCACTATTTCATTATTTGGTGACCAAATCTTATTCATGTGTTTGCTATATATATGTTTTACTGCACTAGTGCTGGATATAGAGCACTCTAAGCAGACCCCTACAGACCTCTATCAAAGCACCATGTATGTGGCTGTGCCTAGCTTTTTCCTGAGATGCAGGGACCAAGTTCAACAACTGAGACATCAGAGAACATAAGTGACCTTTCTGCACTAATGGCTGTAAAGCTCTGGCTGCCATCAGTCTGGTCTTCAGGACAGGACTAGAACTACATCTGTAAAAAATAAATATGTTTTCACTTCTTAAGTGGAAGAAAATAAATTAGTATGTAAGAAAATAATTGAGTTTGAGCCTCGTAATTGCATAAAATCTCGCAATTGTTCCTGTTTCAGCAATTAATCAACATTTAGCTTCATATCCCAACATACCTAATAACATATGGGATAAACGCTGCCAGGTTTAGAGAAGTATCAGCGCCCTCTAGTGGTGACTGAAATAGTCGTCCCAGGATCATCAGTACAGGGTACAGTCCTGGGTGAAGATGGAGTTGGTCTGTATCACTTTAAAAGTTAGATTATGTCAATTAGGCAAGAAATTCTACAGATTCCCTTTTGAGGCAATTGCAAGTTTATTATCTGGTAATGTACTATATAAAAAAAGTACTATACATGTATTTACATGTAGCATGGCAATTTTTGTCAGACAGATCCATTTATTCCTGAGTCCACTTTACATGCATCCTACCATTACATGCATCATTCATGAATAATTTATATTTGCATTCAGATAATCTTGCATCTTAAAATGTGCTTGGAAATAAAATGTGATCTATGGTATAAATGTGTAGCAAACCTCTCCACAAAATATTTGTACTATACATGTACCTTATATTTCTGGTTGCTATTTCTAACTGGTTCAGAAGGAATGGGTAAAGAGCTGGGTACTGATGGAAAAACTGACGACCGGTCTGGCTGTGATAGAATTATTGAAGAAAAACATTGAAATATTTGATGATGTATATTGACAATCTTATTTTTATCAGTTGTAGAGCTTAGAAATCCTGTAATGTTTGAGTTATGTCCTTTTATTCCATGACTTACCAGTTTTTCTTTGACATATTTGACTCATCTTTGCTTCTTTTAACTCCAAAAATTCTGGTCATCATAGTGCTCAGTAAAAGAGTGGAGGAATTTCTCACCTATATATTCAAAAATATGTGTAAAATCATAGTTATTTCACCCTGCCATTTTGTAGAAGAGAGGCAGAGTATGTATATAATGGTAAAATTAAATGTTTCTACCGTAAATGTTATGCAGCTTATATTAATATCTAACTTCAGAATCTGTATACAAAAACACAAACTTAGAGACAAAAACACAAACTCACTGCCCAAAATGGTGACTGAAATCCCAAAATGGCTGCCCTCAGTCCATCTGCAACAAAAGTAGTCACCACCTCACCCAGTCTGGAGTCCTTGAACAGAGCTCTCAGTATGTTAAGGGCATGAACCTATCATAAAAGAGAAATGGTTTACATTTAGAGAATTTAGAGACAGTATTTTATGTTTCCCCAAGGCAACATCCTGATCTGAAATAAAACTTATCTGTAATATAGGTTTATTAAATTATTCTTCCTTTTTCTGTTTTTTTTTTCTGTCCTAAGAGAGGCTCTACTTAAAACATGAAAAATCAGTAATTACTTTCAAGTGATCATCCTTCCATACCAATACAATGCCTCTGTTTGTTACAAACCTTGGAATTAGACAGTTCTTTAGTGTCCTCCTTGAGAGCCAGTTGTAGCAGTTCACTCATGGTCAACTTAAAACATGGCCGCCCTGTACTGTTGGGCTCTGTACTTACTAATGTCTGGAGAAAATGTATACCTGATTACATCACTTCACTAAGTACATGTACCAGTGTAGCAACACACATTTACAAAAAATTGTACATAAAAACAGTTGACAATAGACATGTTATTTGCAACAAAACGATCTTCAGTCAATGAGTTGTATATTGGTAGATCTTTATATACTTGGGCTAAAATATGAGTTATGAAAGATTTCCTACCTGTACAAAGAATGGGATGCCTGCACTTCTTCTTGTGGCACACAACTTGTTATTCTCATCATCATTTTTAATGTCAGCCATGACTTGTTCTAACCAGAGCTTGGGTAACTGGTGGAGAGCCTTAATGTTGCATCTAGTGAAATACATCAAATCAAACATATATTTGGAGATTTTCAGCAATGAAGGAGTTGGAGAAAAATGCACATCCTTTAAATAATCTTTCTGAAAATTAACAACCCAAGTTGGTGAAAACCAATGATTCTAATGGAAACAGTGCTGAAACCATATTGTCCTTGATCTACATGAAAAGAAAATATGAAGGTTCTGTTTTGTAAAGTTCTGAATATTGTGCCAAGTGAAATATGAGGACAGACTGGTAGACCAATATGTATACAGGTATGTCCTGAATTTTGAAACTGGGGTATAAAAACTGTTTACCTCCACAGCATTTCACACTGTTTGACAAAACCAGCACATGCCAGCTCAAATGCTCCCCTGTGTATAGATTCCATTAACTGCTTCCTGAAATACTCTCCAATGATCTTATTCTGTAAAATTAAAAAAAACTCATTCAAGTACATACAAATCGTAACTACATAACTGACATTGACCTTTGAATGAATGACCTTAAAATGTACAGGTGTCTTCCTCTTCTCATTGTTTACCTATGTAATAACATTTTTTTTTGACCTGATGAATATTGTAGGACATCACACATTGATGCTAAAGTCTATTCTCATCATTTATAATGCAAAAATGTACCAATATTTCATATGGAAAATCTTGTCTAGTAACCTCCTTTTCTCAATGAAATTCCTCACATCATGCAGGTGTGAAGGGAGTTGATTTAAAACAAATAATTCTTTGTAAGCAAGGTTCCACTTCTCCTTTTTTTGTCCTTAAACTTTTAATCTGGACCCTACCCACTTGTTTTTCTCCATTGCATTACAGAATACATGGACCCCTTTTTTGATCTCTTTCTGATTAGTAAGTTGTCAGTACCTGCTGAACAGTGAGAAGTCCTATGACTGAAGTCTGTGGTGATGTAATTGGGGCATCAAATGTCAGCTGCCCAAGTAATAATGACACTTCCTTGATATTTCTCCAACAGCAGACGACGAGATACTCTGGCATCAGCCTGACTGTCTCCACACAACGCTCTGCTTCAGAACTACTCAGCTTTCCCTCCTTTGCAAAGATGGACTCCACACCTATGTATTAAATCACTACAAAAGTGATAAAGGGCTCCACAGCATGTGAATATCAATAATCTTGATCTCAAACATATCTGAGCAAGTGACTTCAAAAGCTAGAGCTGACTCTTAAGGAAATCTTGCTAGATGTATTCTATTCAAATTTTACAAAACAATGATAATTGACATATGAGACTTTTTAAGTGAAGAAACAAGGCAAGAAAACAGGTATCAACAGAATGGGATAAATCTACACAAAACAAACTGTTAACTCAGACTTTGCTGTGAGAAATTAAATCCCATTATAAAACATTTCTGACCTCTTACCTTTGATGGCTTCCTCTGGAACGTTACCCTCAGGTGAGCTATTCTGTACAACAGGAGAAACAATATCTGATATCTCCAGACAACACGACAGAAGTTTTTCCATCAGAGGATGCCACAGCATCAATTCCTCTGTAGATAGCTTCCTGAAATAGAATCACACCAACTTACCATAGAAAGAGTTCTTGTATTGCTATGAAAAAATGGGGCTGATTAGCGAAAGTTGGACATCACTGAACAATCTATGTATACTAGTATCACTCATGGGGAGTATAGAATATTTGTTGGACCACTTTATATGAAATTAAAAGTCTTACTTCAGATTAACATCAAACAGGATGTATCTGATGCAATGTAATGTGGGATACATTGGTTTTGTTGCTGCTGTGATAAACAACCCAGTCTTAGAAACCTGCAGTTGATCTTCCAGGTAAAATAACAAAATCCACAGCAACAACACAGTTCCCCCTGATGAAGCTCTATTTTGGTGGGACATTTTCTGGAGAGCAGTCTTCAGATTTTGTGTCCCATCCAGTAAGTCCTCCCACTTTGCCAGAGCAGAAGGTGTAAGGTATTTTGTGAGGGTTTCCTGGGAATTGACCAGGAAGTCCTGAATTCTAGGCTGTAGGAGGAGGATTCGAAGGAGGTAGGCTCCTGTGGTACAGTCCTGTGGACGGTTACTGCCAGCTAATTCCAGACCAATGTCCAACAGCTCAGATTCATTCATATTGATGAGGTTCTTTGAAACAAAATAGAAGTCTCAGATAGGACTATGAGTCAAATGGTTTACAATTAATTGCATTGAAAGGAAAAGTTTTTTGGGGATCTTAAGTAGAATTCTGAGACAGGTCCTAATTTTGCTGTATTGATGTCTGATATTACGATACCTTGAGATGAAGCCCTTGGTAGAAGCAATGCTTCAATATATGGAAGGCCTCTTTCTTATTGTCTTCAAACGTGTCTGTCATACATTCCATAAGTGTTTGGATGTGACAACCTTTCCACTCCTCCCATATGATATAACCTTAAAACATTTAAACATAAATACATTTCAATTAAGAACACTCGCCATTAAAATAAACAAGCCAATTCAGAGAATTGTGTTCCCTCATTTTGAAGGTCTTACTGGTTGAGGTGCAATGATATATTGGATATTGTGACTGATTTTTCTGTCCATCATACCAAAAGATTTATATTTTTAAAGCAATGTTATGGTGCAAAAGTTATGGCAAAGGTTAACGTCTTGAAAGTTAGACTTCAAGGTCAAGGTCTTGAGGTCAAAAATCATAGTGCATTTGGAAAGATCTTGTTAAAAGTAATGCACATATGAAAATATGAAAGCCCCTTTATAGGTGCAAAAGCTATGGCCAGGGTTATAAGTTTTGAAAGGGAGTTCAATCTTCAAGGTCAAGTTCATAAATAATAGTTCATCTGGAAAGGTCTTTTCAAAGGTAATGCACATGTAAAATATGGAGGCCCAGTCTCTCCAGGTACTATCATTCCAATAACAGCGTGTCACTTTGCTTGATCAAGCATGCAAAAGTTTCACAAATTGATTACCATATTACTCATCGATTGGATGTTTGATTTGAATGAAATCAATGCCACTTTGCATAAGAAACACAGAATCCAACAATAGCCCGATAACACTGGCCAATCATATTGAATGATTGTTTATCAGTGTGGCAGTCAGCAGCAACAAGTGGTCAGTCAACGCCCGTTTTCTGTCCTCAAAATAGTATGTGTCATATTTGTTGTGATTTGACTGAATGGAGTTAATACATGTCCGTATGAGAAAATTTAAAGCATGAAATAAGTAAGGCTATACTCTGCTACTATTAAACTATATAGCAATCAATATCATCATTATAGGGATTAAAACTTGCTTTGCCTGTCCACATGTGATTATTGTTTACTGCATTCTCGTGAACAATCATTCAATATGATTGGTCAGTATTGCTGGGTTCTGTATTTCATATGCAAAGTAGTATTGCTTTCATTGAAATCAAAAATCCAATCGATGAGTAATATGGTAATCAACATGTTAAACTTGATCACGCTCGATCAAGCAAAGTGACACGGTGCTACTGGAATGATAGTAAAAAAGTCAAACTTTGATGTCATATCGTGAGGTCAAAAATCATAGTGCATTCAGAAATGCACATGTGAAATATGAAAGTTCTTATGCTATCTTTTCCCATTTTAAACAATTAAAATTTTTGAAAAGTGGGTCAAACTTCAAGATCAGGATCATGTTGTTGAAAACAAATCATTGTACATCTAGAAAGGTCTTGTCAAAGGTAATGCAGTAATGCACATGCAAAATATGAAAGCCCTGTCTCTCTAGGCACAAAAGCCAAGATTAGAGTTGCTGAAGAATATGTCTGACTTCAAGATCAAGGTCATGAGGTCAAAAATCAAAGTGCATTTGGAAAGGTCTTGTAACAGTTAATACACATACATGTGAAATATAATAGCCCTGTCTTCTTTTATTCAATAGTTATGACCAAGGTTAATGGTTCCGTGACAGACAGACAGACTGACAGACAGACAAACAGACAGATGAATGCGATTTAATGCCCTGCATTTCAAAAAGCGAGGGACAATAACCTATTCAATAATCTATAAGAAACGTGGATTTGCATTTCTTCCATTTCACATCAAAGGGCAAATCACTCTAACTTTATAAAACTACCATGAAATTAGAACTCTTCAGTCGACAGTGTCTAGAGCCTCACTATGGTTTAGAAAATGATCACATTTAGGCTTACCTCCCTTATTAGGAGGATGGAGAAGATTAACCATGATAGATAGAACAGACAGGGCTGTTGTACGTCTGGCAAATGCTGACCCCGGATAAAGGGAGTGAAGCAGAAACTGGAACAGCCAGGACCCAAAGTTCTGTAAATAAATGTTCCAACTAAGTACCATGCTATCAGAAATAGGGTTAACAAGGAACGGGGAATTTTATATACTAATTAACAAACAAAAGAAGAGAAAATCCATTGTACCTTATACGATATCAAAACACTGTTGACCTCTGGATGTGTATTTCTAGACTGAAATTTTCTGCACAATGCACCTTCACTCTCTTTAAATCTTATAAACAGCTACAAAATACATGTAACAAAATTTCACTGAAGTTTTACAAATAAGGTTATGTACCGAAAAGCTTCGGTACACAAATAAAATCAGGATGGTCAAATTTGCTGCAGATTCAAGTACTGATACCTTTTTAACATGAGCCACCATGTGTTGTCTAAAGGATGGTGATTGGTTCTTCATATTCCATTGGATGAAGTATTTCAGTAATCTGAACTCTGATTGGCTGATTGGTTCAGATGTCTTGTGGTTTTCACAGAGTAAGGCAAATGCATCCAGTCTAGCCTAGATATACATGATCATTACATACATATGTTCCAAATTTCAAATTAACTGTCAGATTTTTTCTTATTTCTTCTCATGAATAATTGACAAGTTTGCTGTAAAAATATACCTGATCATCTGTATGGCTAAGGGCTTGTTTGACCAGTTCTATTTTCACTACTCCATACAAACAGTGGGATGATTCAGTTGTAGAATTGTCCAACAGACCCATGACTCGAGCTCTCCTCAAGCACATGATTAGGGCACCTAACTGGTCATCTGAAACTGTAATACTGCTACATGCATATAACATGGAGATAATTCTTGTATAATACATTACTACAATATATACAACACAAAGCTAACATGAAAAACAAGCAATACAGTTTGACATCTGAAATTAGAATTATTTTTCCATATGTATAAATGATACCTGACTGACTGTCATTACACAGAGATGAAATCATGTACTCCAGGGTGTCTTTTCCTGTTTTCAGAAGTTTGGGGAGGACATACTGTAATATCAAAAAATTATTATGCATTGAGGAATTATTATTTTAATAATTGCAACAGGAAGATAGCAAACATTACAAATCTGAATTGTAGAAAAAGTAAATTTGACTCAATTATAAATTATAAAGTTGACACCTCAATGATAAACGTCCTCTGTTGTGAGTTGTTTCCCATCATGCACTGCAGCATGGGCCACACCCAGATTTTTTGCCACTGCTTTTTGTTGTCTGGCTGAGAGAGCTCTTTAAGATGCTCAGTCAAAAGTTTATCATACAAATCACTAGCCTGAAAAATAGTTTAAGATATGAAATAAGAATTCATTTGTATTACAAAACTCCAGCACATTTAACAGGTGGTTGTCTATTACAGGAACTGTAAGCTTATTACAGGTATCCATAACCTATGGAAAGAGTGTGTAAAGTTCTCCAAGCTCCATAGTATCAAATAAAATACATCTCCTTCGAGTATTAGGAACAAAAAACAATATCAGTGGTTTTATACATGGTCAAATACATGTTTGTGCAGAAAAGGAAAAAAAAATTAAATGAAATCATATGGTAATAACAGTTGTTCAATACAGGTATAATGCCACAACTAGAGATACTGTGAGTTAGCTCACAAAATAATACCCCCCCCCCCCCCCCCCCCCCCCCCCCGCAAATTTTTTTTATGTGCCCATTGTCAATTTTGTAAAAGTGACCTTTGTTAAAAAAAAACATCCTCTGGTCATAAGTCATCTTTTAGTAAATACGGACATCAAATGTTTCTCCATTAGAAAATTTTAGTCCTGATATAAATTTTATAATTTTTCTGCCAGTGACCTTGAACTTGCCAGAATGACCTTAGTTTAAGGTCATGATATATCCTAAGGTCATAAACAATCTTTGTACCAAGTATGAGCTTCCAATGATTCTCTACAACAAAGTAGCTCAAACAAAAATTTCATACTTTATCTGCCAGTGACCTTAACCTTGCTGGAATGACCTTGAGTGAAAATCAAGACACACCTCATATCATAAGCAGTTTTTGTATAAAGTATGAACTTTCAATGATTTTCCATTACAAAGTTATAGCCCAAACAAGAATTTTATATTTTTACTGCCAGTGACGTTGAACATGCCAAAATGACCTTGGGTCAAGGTCATGACACCTTGGATTATAAACAATCGTTGTACCAAGTATGAGCTTCCAATGACATCATTACAATGTTATAGCTCAGGCAAGATTGCCCAGACAGATAGACAGACAGACAAGGTGATTCCTATATCCCCCCCCCCCCCAAATTTCATTTGCTCAGTGTATAAACAATCAAAGAAAAGTTCTGGTTGTTATTTGTGTCAGGCAGTTTGTCCCTGAAAGCAGGTAAACCTAGAATAAAACTATGGGTTGGAATTCTTAAGGTTATAAATTGACAAAAAGTTTCTTAATACAGTGGATACCTAATGCAGATTTGATGGAAAATTGCATTATTATTAAATGCATCATTATGTTTAATTTATTAAATAGTGAAAGCAAATTACATAACAAGCAACCGTCTGCTCTTTGAGGTTGTTCAGAATATCCTGTGCAAGGTCTGGACTGAACTGAAGTAGTGTTGAGACTTTAAAATTCTCAGCCAGGATCCGGAGTGTTCCATATTTTCCCTTGCTTGACCAGCTCACTTGTAACAGGAGAGATCTAGTCAGGTCCATCAAGAACTGGTCATCTGAAGCTGATTATAGAAACAAAGGACTCAACTGTCAATTTCAAAACAATTCATGGATTGCACATGTTATCCCCCCCCCCCCTTCTCCACCCATGCCATGCCTTTCTACTGTTCCATGCCACTTTTCAGATTATTAGTTGTCACTTGTGTGTATATGTCCTTGTCTTTAACCTAATGCAGGGAAGTAGTGCAGTAAAAATGCAAACTCTGAATACTTATAACAATTACGGCCTTCAAGAATTGTAGATTATAACTGGAAATGCATGAATACACAACATATGACTTCTCATGACACTATGAACACATCTAAATTATCACCCTATTGATTTACAATCATTACCTTTATTCTGATAGATTTTTTTTCTGTATGCTTTCCTTACTCAAAAAAGTAATATCAGTAGCAAGCACTTTTAAAGAATATTTTCTCCAAATGTTTGTAATTTTTGCTTTAAAATACATGTGTACATGTACATTTGAAATATTTTGAGTTAAAAATAATCCTGGGATGAAGTAAGGGCAAGAGAAGCCAACAGAAGTGAATGGAATGGCCAAGAGAATAAATGAAGATGCCTAAGGACTTAAACCAGTATGTTAGAAGACATGTCTTTGTCTTTACAAAGGTGTCCAAAAAAATTGCTTGAATTTGACTTGAATTTTTATGATTTTTTTGTTGTTGATATTTTGTGTTCATTTTAAAATAAGTTTTATGTTTTTGATTTGACATTACCTTTAGCACCTGTTGCAGCCTTGTGTACCTTGATGACAGATTCAAAGATGTCTTTGGCAGTAAACCTTACAACCTATCCAAAATATTGTTTTACGTGTATTACAATTACCGGTATGTAAAAATATTATACGTATCAAACACTGACACACTATTGAGAAAGATACTGTAAACCAACTATTCACAGCAACATTAATTTGCAATTTGTCAGCATGATTGTTAATTTTCAATTTGTCATTTTGAAATCCATCAACGATATAAATCATCATGACAGAGGAAACATTCAATACAAAATAAATGATTATATAAAGATAAAAAAAAATATTCAATGGTTTGAGTGATCATCTATGCACAAAAAAAAGTTTACAGAGAGACAAACATAAAACAGATAGACATGGTAAGTCCTGTTTAAACCCCAAACTTCATTTATGGTGTATACCGGTAATAAAGCTGTATAATACAATTCAGTATTACTAGGCCTGAGTATGGCAAGCTACCTAACGATACAATACATATCATGATATGGTCAAGCGATACGACATGTATCATGATACAGCTGTCAACAATTAAATTAACTGATATCTTTACATATTCTTGCTTGCTAACCTCCACAATTATAGAAAATATAAAAGAATATTACGAGACCCCTAACCAAAGTTATTTATAGATGGACTTATAGTCTTAGCATTGTATTTTTTCACTGATACCTTTTTTTTAATCATTTTGTAACATAATATTTCTCAGTTTGCCTGTAGAATTTTCAAATAAGACAATGAAAATTAACTTGTACTGTATCAAGATACATCCATGGCCTTACGATATGCAAATTGTGAAACCTTGAGATCAATACGATCGATGTATCCCTGTATTGTTACACCTCTAAGTATTACAGTGCCCTTACATCTGTTGTATCCTCCCAAATCATCCACACAAACTCTAGTACCCTCTGTAGCAGGTCCCCAGGACCAGTTAATTTAGCCACTACTTCAGGGTCACAGCTATCAGACTTCAAACAGGCCCTAATTTATGAATAGAAAAAATACTCATAGACAGTTATAACTCTTTAAAATCTAAGTATTCATGTAAAAAAATTCAGGTTGACATACAAAGCTCTGTTGGTCCACATGAGGACGGTCCTTGCCATCTGAAGTTTCCCACTTGTGTCAAGATTTCTGAAAAAATTAAATACGGAACTGAATTCAATCTAATAAATACGTATGTACAATTGCAAATGTAGGTTAATTCATTCACTTCCTTAAAAGATAAACATGAAGCTTAATTTCTTGTATAAAGAGACATTGGAGTATCATTTTCTTTTTTTAAAAACAATAAAGGGCTTCTAGAAAAGCATCCAACCTTGAACCAATTGATAATATTCTGTTCAACATGAGATCCACTAGTAGACTCTTGCTGTCTCTACTGTGATTTAGTAAGTCCGAAACATCTAACTGAGCCAGAATCCCAAACCACAAGCACAAGCAAGAAGTCGGGGAGAACTGGGCTAGGACACTCCTACATAAAGATGTCCTTAACAACCAATCTGGGATGTGAGTATTTTTAATATCCTCACCAAATATGATGTCCAAGATCTGAAATCCAAAAACAATCGAAGACTATCATATACTTCTGAAACTTTATATTTTTATATTTCAAAAATCAAATGATTATTATCTCTTTTTTGTGCTTTATACCAAATCTGTTGTATTCTTTCCAGCTGTCAGCTTTAACAAGAGGGTCAGACACATGCTGCCACTGGTCTTACAATCCAACAGGAAATTATCTGACAAAGATCAAGTACAACATTCAAGTTACTTAGGTGAAAAGAAAACAACATCAATCCAATTATTCGAGGAGACAACTGCTCACAAAATTCAAGTTACTTAAATGAAAAGAGAAGATCCTCAATCTAACCATTTAAGAGGGGATAGCTCTCTACTCACAACATTCAATTGACCTAGATTTTTATACAAAGCTGTGACAGCAAACCAGGTAATCCTTTGTGTGAACAGTACTGGTATTTCTCACATAAATTATAAATTAAACTTTTTATTCTGAAAAACTGTAGGAGGTGACATCCTAACAATATTAATGTACCTATCAGAATTGTCAGAACTGTCAGTCCTGTCCACAAGCCTGGTAAAAAACTGTTTGGACCAATAACTTACAAGAAAAAACATCAGTCCAAATGACCGTTAGAAAAAATCAGGCGTGATGCAAATTTTTAAAAGATCCGGATTGGGGTAAACAGACGAAAGTCACAAAAACAGCAGAGATGGCTATGTTGTGATGGGGGTCAATCAAATTTGTTAAAGCAGAGACATTAATCATATTATTTAGGTCTCTGATTAAAGACTTTCTATCCTAAGAAAAGAAAATTGTGGAATCAAATGCTGTCAAACATAATAAAGGGTTTTTTGGTGCAGTTATTTTTTTTTCTTTCTGTATGAAGTAAGATACATGTACCTGGTCTAACAAAACTTCGACCAGTCCAACAGAACCTCTTACTTCACCAGACCAAATGTCTGACAATGATTTAAGGAGGTTCGATCCTGAGCCTTTGAGCAGATTTTGGTCTGGACCTTTATTTCTAAAATTCTGCATCATTTTTAAGTTCTAACATTAAATCTGGATTCTACAATGCAAATTAAACTATATCCAATGAAAAAAACACGATTAAATTCCATTCAAATAGGATTAAGCTAGGAACTATATTTTGTGGCGGAAGGTTTTTTTTAGAAGAAAATGATCAATTTTTCCCTTTTGAAGTATATACAGTACTGTTAAGTTTAAATTCCTATTTTTCCATGCTGGTTGCACACAGAGCTGTTTTTTGCAGTGAAATGTTTTATTCTGGTTCTGAAATATCTATTAAGTTATTTCTCATGAATTCTTTCATTATATTGTGACAAATATAGTAAATATATTCTGAAAGTCCAGGAAAAAATTGAGCCAATTTTAACATAAAATTAACACTTTTTTAGTAATATCTAAAAATTTACATCATAGACCCCCACTTTTGTTTTTCTTTTCTGAATATATAAGATAACTTTGATCAATCTGCTTAAATTCAGCAAAAGTTTGAGACTTTAAAATAATTTTTTTGCTTGTTAAATTTTTTATGCCAGAAAAATCACATTTTGTGAGTGCAGAAAGGTCAAATAATTGATTATGCGAAGCAATTTGCAACTTTTTCTTAGTCACAATTTCAATGTGTCTTTTTTTAAATAAACTAATAGTTTATTTTGTCCCATGCTTTATTTGGATAAAAACATTGGAGGGAAAAACGTCGAAGAGGTGATTTTTGATTAAGACACAAATTTCAGTACAGAAAGGTCATATTAAATGTACTGTAGCGCCAAAAGAAGCATATTGACCCCCATTTTTTGTTTTAATTTTTAATTAAGCTATGTGTGTAGAAACTAAAAATATACTTGATAAAAAAAAGTTTAAGACTTTAAATATCAGGATCCAACCTCGTTAAAAAGTTTGACAACTTGCCCTATGAACATGTTTTGCAATAAAAATAACCAAGTTCAACAACTGGTATTTTCCCCATAAATGATCAAAAATGAAATTTCAAGTATTTTTTTTCATTTTAATTACCAGTTTTTGAACTTAGTTTTTTTTTACGCAAAATGTATATATAGAGTACCCCATATGTCTGGATAATTCCTCCTACAGTTTTCAAGATAGGAAGTTTTCATTTTGCACATTATTTGTTCATACATCAGACTTAAGACTTTAAGTATTATCATTTTACAACCTGATATACATATCTGCATTATAAAAACATAGGTAATCAGAGATTACAGAGCTCACCTCAACGACTGTTGTCTTCAAGTAAGGCAAAGTCCCACACTAAACTAATAATCTAGGAGTGTGCATCCCTAGATGCAATATTTATGCAATTTTGGTCTGATAGGGCTTGCAGTTACTTGGGAATAGACTTATCTGAAAACTTAAAACTAGTCACTCATCCAGAAAATGTAAGTAAAATCCAGCATCCGAAGCAAGTTTTGAAATTGTTCGTCCCTTGATGCATCTTCCATGCAAGTTTGGTTCAGATAGGCCTTATAGTTACTTGGAAATGAGATCTGCTCCAAAAACTTTAACCTGGTTACTCATCCGGAAAATGTAGGTCAGATCCAGCATCCGAAGCAAGTCCAGTAGTGTGCATCCTTAGATGTATCATCCATGCAAGTTTAGTCAATATAAGGCTTATAGTTACTTGGAAATGACATCTGCTCCAAAAACTTTAACCTGGTCACTCATCCGGAAAATATAGGTCAGATCCAGCATCCAAAGCAAGTTCAGTAGTGTGCATCCTTAGATGTATCATCCATGCAAGTTTAATCAATATAGGGCTTATAGTTACTTGGAAATAAGATCTGCTCCAAAAACTTTACCCTGGTTACTCATCCGGAAAATATAGGTCAGATCCAGCATCCGAAAAAAGTCCAGTAGTGTACATCCTTAGATGTATCATCCATGCAAGTTTGGTCAATATAGGGTTAGTAGATACTTGGAAATGACATCTGCTCCAAAAACTTTAACCTGGTCACTCATCCATAAAATATAGGTCAGATTCAGCATCCAAAGCAAGTCCAGTAGCGTGCATCCTTAGATGTATCATCCATGCAAGTTTGGTCAATATAGGGCTTATAGTTACTTGGAAATGACATCTACTGCAAAAACCTTAACCTGGTCACTCATCCAGAAAATATAGGTCAGATCCAGCATCCGAAGCAAGTCCAGTAGTGTGCGTCCTTAGATGTATCATCCATGCAAGTTTAATCAATATAGGGCTTATAGTTACTTGGAAATGAGATCTGCTCCAAAAACTTTAACCTGGTCACTCATCCGGAAAATATAGGTCAGATCCAGCATCTGAAGCAAGTCCAGTAGTGTGCATCCTTAGATGTATCATTCATGCAAGTTTGGTCAATATAGGGCTTATAGTTACTTAGAAATGAGATCTGCTCCAAAAACTTTAACCTAGTCACTCATCTGGAAAATGTAGGTCAGATCCAGCATCCAAAGCAAGTTCAGTAGTGTGCATCCTTAGATGTATCATCCATGCAAGTTTGGTCAATATAAGGCTTATAGTTACTTGGAAATGAGACATGCTCCAAAAACTTCAACCTGCTCCAAAAACTTTAACCTGCTCCAAAAACATTAACCTGGTCATTCTTTAGCTGAAATTGCAGCATCTGAAACCTTGACTGGTACAATGAAACACACTAGAAGCATCCTCCATGCATCTCTGACTAATATAGGCCATAGAAGTACTTGAAAAGAAAACCTTAACCTGGGACGCTGACGCCAAGGGTATTACATAAGCTAAACAAGAGGCCCATGGGCCTTGAATCGCTCTTCTGATAAACTGTACAATCTATCACTTCTATTTGAAGCCTCGAAGTATCCTGTATATTTACATAAACCCTTGAAATTCCAATTCACACTCTGAGAACCCAAGATGATTCTAAGCCAATTAGTACCTGAGAGTTGGTCATGGTGACCTACTTATCACTTGTCATTCTCTGAGGACCCATCAACTAAGTTTGATGATTCTAAGCCAATTAATACCTAAAATATTTTTTAAAATTATAATCATAAAATTTTATAAGTAGGTCAAAGTGACCTACTTTTCAATTGTTTTACTCCAAGGACCCAAGATGCATCAACTGACAAAGTTTGATGATTCTAAGCCAATTAGTACCTGACATATTTAATTAAAGCCATAAATTTTCAAAAGTAGGTCACCGTGACCTACTTTTCAGTTGCTGTACTCCGAGGACCAAAGATACATCGACTGACAAAGTTTGATGATTCTAGCCAATAAGTACCCAAAAATATTTAATTACAGCCATAAATTTTCAAAAGTAGGTCACAGTGACCTACTTTTCAGTCAACCTACTCCGAGGACCAAAGATGCATCAACTGACAAATTTTGACGATTCTAAGCCAAATAATTCCTGAAAATATTAAATACACCCATAAAATTTCAAAAGTAGGTCACTGTGACTTACTTTTCAGTTGTTGTACTCCGAGGACCCAAGACGCATCAACTGACAAAGTTTAATGATTCTAAGCCAATTAGTACCCGAAATATTTGATTAAAGCCATAAATTTTCAAAAGTAGGTCACCGTGACCTACTTTTCAGTTGTTGTACTCCGAGGACCCATGACGCATAAACTGACAAAGTTTGATGATTCTAAGCCAATTAGTACCCGAAATATTTTATTAAAGCCATAAATTTTCAGAAAGTAGGTCACGGTGACCTACTTTTTAGTCGACCTACTCCGAAGACCCATGACGCATCAACTGACAAAGTTTGATGATTCTAAGCCAATTAGTACCCAAAATATTTAATTAAAGCCATAAATTTTCAAAAGTAGGTCACGGTGACCTACTTTTTAGTCGATCTACTCTGAAGACCCAAGATGCATCAACTGACAAAGTTTGATGATTCTAAGCCAATTAGTACCCGAAATATTTAATTAACGCCATAAATTTTCAAAAGTAGGTCACTGTGACCTTCTTTTTAGTCGACCTACTCCGAAGACCCAAGATGCATCAACTGACAAAGTTTGATGATTCTAAGCCAATTAGTACCTGAAATATTTAATTATAGTCATATAAATTGAAAAGTAGGTCACGGTGACCTACTTTTCAGTTGACCTTTTTTGAGGATCCAAGATGCATCAACTTACAAAGTTTTATGATTATAGGACTTAAAATGTCCAAATTATGCCTCTAAAACGCTTTGAAATCGAATGTCTGCAAAGTTCAAAAAGTAGGTCACAGTGACCTACTTTTTAATAAATATGTTTTATGGCCCCAAGAGGCATCATCTTACAAGATTTAATGATTCTAAGCCTCCCCGTATTCAAATTAATGACCTTAATTGTTTTAAAAAAGATTAGCCATAAAATTCAAAAAGTAGGTCAAGGTGACCTACTTTTTAAGTGACGTACTTTGACGACCCAAGATGCATCAACTGACAAAGTTTGATGATCATAGGCCTTAAATTGTTCAAAATATGCCTCTAAATCATTATGAAAAAGAATGGCCGCAAAATTTGAAAAGTAGGTCACCGTGACCTACTTTTGAGTCAACATGATATGAGGTCCTTAGATGCACCAACTGACAAGATTTGATGATCCTAGTCCTTATAGTAAGCAAAATATCAACATTTTAATAAAATGTAATTTTTTTGTCAACTTTGAAGTGACCTTGAGACCACGCCCTTTGCCCCAGGGTAAATCCCCCTGCAAATTTTAATCTACAACATATCCTCATCCTTTTGTGTAAGTTTGGTGATAATCTGCCCAGTGGTTCTTGAGAAGAAGATTTTTTAGCAACCAGTACTTTTGTTTCTATTTTCCTAATTATCTCCCCTTGTTAAAGGGTCACAACCCCAGTTTTAGTACAAAAGGGAGCCCTTGGGCCAAGGATACCCTGGGACAAATTTGACAATAATTGGCCAAGGGGTTCTTGAGTTATGGCCCATATTCTAAAAAGTTTACGCACAGCGCACACCGCACAAATGGCCATAGCATTAGCTCTTTGAGCCTTTGGCTCAGAAGAGCTAAAAACTAATTATCTGCATTATACACACCTGATTTAAGTATTAGCATTATATTATCAATAAATGTCTGCGAGACAGATTGGATCTCTTTCTCTGTGTAAGAATCTGCTCCTTCAATATCCCCTACACATTTCTGGACCAATTTACTGGAGGCTTGCAAGGTGGCCAGGCAATGATGCATTACTTCATTATCCTCAACAGGTGACAGGTCACTACTAAAGATAAATTTTATGTTACGATGAGTATATCCCATAATTAAACTATTAAATGATGTTTATCTAAAACATTAGATTTTTTGAAGTCATTATTATTTTTAGTAAAATTACTGCACATTCTCATTCAAAAGTGTGCAAAATCTTACAATACCTCTTTGTAGCCAAAAACTTTGCAAGAGCTCTGGTCAAATACTTAAGGACTGAAAAAAAAGACAGTCAAGTATTGAGATACTTAGTACAGTCATCTGTCTTGATGGCCAGCTAATTTTGGCTTATTTCACCACTGAATCTTTATCTTGAAATTTCAAACAACATTTATAAAGATTAATATTTCCTCTATTTAGTATTATTCAAATTCATCAAAATTAAATTTGCTAATATTTTGTAATACTTTTAAGTTTATGACATCAAAGTTTTACAACAACAGGGTTCAAATTTCCTCAAGCCTGACGTCTGGGACTTGGTAAATTCAGTTCTGGGCTCAGCATTTAGAATCGCCAAAAGTTTGAGGACTTGGCATTATTGTAATTAATAATTTTATAAACCCTAGAAATGTAGGTTGAAAAATCTCAAATAATATGAACATCTCTTGATTATTTCATAAAAGTATAATTTTGGGATTTTTTTTTTCATAGTTCGAGTGTTCTCAATATTACAATCCAACTTTTTTAATTTTCTGTTACGATGGGACCCACATTTACTCAATTTCTCAAGCTACCTCCATGTGTTGGGGTGTCAGGAGTTGAGTTTGGTTTAAAAATCCAGGGAACTGCAAGGAAGAGGCTTCTTTATGACAGCTATGTCAGCTTTCAGTGATAAAAATAATATGTTGAGAAAGAAAAGCAGTCATCTTTTTTAGATCCATTTGGTGTGACAACAGGCCGAGTGAATGTGCCGATGTTATGATATATTTTATGTATGGAGAAAAAATAAAGATATTTTTAAATTACATTTTGCTTTTATTCATTCCTATCAAATAAGTTGTACTTATTTATCTCAAAATGATGCTATCAATGCGGACTTGAACATTTCTTCGTCTGACTTGCCTAAAATTCAACCTTCAAGTCCTGGACTTGAGTATCGAAAAAAAAAGAGTTGAACCCTGAAGAACCCAAATAACCCACTACACAATAAGGAATATATTGAAGAAAAATGGTTTCATTTTTTCTTTTAACTCTGGTATTAATTCTTACCTGGTAGAAATATCAAAGAAAGACACTGCTCCCCTGAAAAGAAGTAAAGACTATGTACTAATATATCTAATATATATATATAGAAAGAAAAAGAGTTAAGGAAGGAAGAGAAAGAGAAAGAAAGAGTTTTTAAATTGTAATGTCTATCAAAAACTGAACATACCTAATGTAAAGTTTTCCATGAGACAGTATATCATATTAACTGTCTGTCGGGCAGCTAAGACATCCTTGACCTCTTCAGCGATCTTTATTCTGACTTCTTCTTTCATCTTTTCACATAGTAAGGTTTTGAATTCATGATTAAAATTCTGGAATGTGCTACAATTAAATGGTAATGTCTTAAAATAACTATAGTATGCTCTCTTGGAATAAAAAAAAGAAAGAAAAATCTTACCATGATAGCAAAGAACCAGCTAAATGGCCTTACCATTCACAATCTTAATCATAATAAGAACTATAAGATCATAATACCAAACATGTAATATTTTTAATTAATATTTGTGTACCTTGCCAACAGCCTTTTCACTGTGTGTTTGGGAGGACAATTTAGGTAGATGTTGACTAGGATTGTGACAGATGAAATCATCTTTGACCCTGTGTCCTTTCTTAGAAAACATACCTGGATTTCTTTGCATATCTGGAACATAAAGTTAATAAAAATGATTATATATAAATACATGTATAAAGAATAATTTCATTCATATTAGTATAAAATGTTTTTTTTTCACATGTACATATTTTATTGTAATAGAAAAAAACTAAATTAGAATTTTATATGAAACATCCTAACTAAGGAATACAATAGTGCCGTAATCCTGGTGCTTAATTAGTGTCCTAATTATGGAGCCTTACTTATGCTCTACATATATTAGGTGTCCCAACGCCTAATGATGGTGCAGCAGGTCTTACTACTTGGGGCCTAATGCCCAAACAGAAAGGCCTAATAATGGTGTGGCAGGCCCTAATATTTGGAGCCTAATGCCCTAATGGGTAGGTCTAACTACGGTATATCAAGTGTCAGAGGTATATATAAGGAAAGAGAAAATGAGAAATAAAGATCATCTTGTACTTAGGAGGTAAACTTTATTTCATATCTTTAATACACCTGTTCAAACAAGATATGCTTAAATCTATAAAGATCTACAATTCCTACTAGAAACACAGGATTCATAGCATTTTGTGTTATGGGGGCAAGAATGGAGAGATTATTATAGACATATCACAGACTTGTCTCAGGAGCAATTGTTCAGATTTCAAAAACTTCACAATTGGTGGCAGCGGTGAGATCAGAGGAAATTATTCTATGTATTATGTAGAAATGAGATTGACCAGCAAACTTTAGATTTTTAAAAATGTGTGGCCAGGAGTTCCCAGAAAATAAGGTACCAAAACAAATGCCTGTTAAGGAAGATCCATCAAATGAAGGCATAACAACAGAACCAACTTAAGACACCCATCACTCTCTAAATGAGGAAACAGATGTCATAAGAACTGGAAACCATTACAAATAGTCTGGTTACAACTAGGAGGACAGTTAATGGTATTACTTCAGTTCAGAGGCAGCATAACATCTCAAATTCCCTGCATTATAGGCCAGATGAAATTGATTGGAGGAATTTTTTTTGAATATTTCCATAGCAAAGTTGCTGTCCATGCCCGAACTGAACATGAGAGAGAGGGTATGGATACTGAACAGATATAAAGCTGATCAAATGCCTTAACCCCGAGTCCGATGTGAAGCTACCAGTATATATACACGTATATGAACCTTTGATTTTACTCGGGGGATAAATTACTTTGATACAATTTGCATGGACATATTGCATATTGTTAACCCCATCCTCACAATGTCAGGGGTCCTGTGTCAACTCCTTGCTGTTGGACCCCTGACAAACTTCATTCGATATCTTGCAGGCTGACTGCAGCGACATCTTTCAGGAAAATTACAAATCTTGATTGTTTTTCTTATCACTCATCCAATCACTAAGCCTTTCAGTGATAAACAATGCGTAACATGTAACATGTGCATTTTAAGTGTCAATTGATTTCTTTCTGTTTATATATCTGTCTATTTTGATTTGATTGGTGCTTCTCAATGAGAGAAGCTAGCCCAAAGATATCGAATGAAATTTGTCAGGGGTCCAATGGCAACAAGTTGACACAGGACCCCTGACGTTGTGAGGATGTGTTCACCCCTTATCATCAATTTTTTCCAAGAGCAATTGTTCAGATTTCAAAACTCCAATTAAATATACATTGTAGATTCCTTATTTTACTTGAGTACTTAATATCGCGAAATGGCTCTTTGCTGCCAAATTGTAAGAACAATAATTTGCGAGTGGCCGGTTAATCAAGAGATTTTACACGGTTTTCAGCCCCATAAAAATAAAAGCGAGTAATTTTATTTCGAGAGTTGTGCTTCTCATGAATTTATGTGATAATTAATTCCTCATGAATATTTAGGAATCTATAGTATATACTGTCATTTTCTTAAAAACTAATTCATTCAGATAGAAGGATAAACATTGGTTATCATCCAGTAAGAGAAACTTTACTAAGCCGTAGAGTCAGGCCCTCACCATATTTAATGACAGATCATTCTTTTAGTTATTATCTACCTTGGCACACATTTATTTACGTAGATTACATTTACATGTTACATTTATTTATGGAGATTACATTTACATGTTATAAAAATTCTGATACAATCTTACCTCCTTCAGAATGACAATTTGCTGTTTTATGTCTTTTGATTCAAATAATTTTTCAAACTTTCTGTTTAACAAGTTTTCATCCTCTAGCACGTTTTCGTCTGAAATGAATACTGTGTTTTTAAAAGTGTTTCCAAAAGTATAATTGCATAAACAATGGTATGTACATTTTTAGATTATTTTAACTGTTTTCAAATATGCACTGAAGTCTGAACTACATGTACTATTCTCTTTAGAAAAGCATACAAGCATAGCCTACATCCACAGACATGGATGTATGCTTTGCCTGTCCACCTCTCTGCAGACAATAGCCCTGCACACACCAGGTAAAATTCATTGTTTCAGACTGTATTCCCACCTTAACATCATGATCAGCACTAAAATCATCATCAAAATGTGAAACTGAGCTGGAAAATTATGCAAAGTTAAGTTTTATCAAATAATTTTCTCCATCATTCAGCTCTCAAAATCAGATGGCCTGCATGCAGCAGTGGTTGACCACTGAGTAAGGAGTTGATCCTTACATCACAGATTTCAATCCACCGTTGGAGACTGATCCTTTGGATGAGACAATCCAGTGTTGCAGTAAGGCAGCTCCCTCACTGCTCAAGGCCATAAGCTGCAGGTCCAGTACAATCTCTTGATTTAGCTACATAGCTTGAAATAGCTATATAGTTTTATTAAGCTATTCAGAATAGCTTGATTTAGCTATTTTATCTCACCTTTTTCTTATACGTGTTATTTTTTCAGCATGTATGAAAAGTTGCACCTAGTTGCAGTGATAGTGTTCAACCTTAAACTGTTCTGAACACAATGCATGTAACAATTATTCATCAAATTGCGTCTCCTTTAGGGACTTTGTACTTTGAACTAAGTTTTTAAAGTTTTGGGGCTATTAAAGCAATTGATTTGTGACCACACAGTTACTTCTTGAATGAAATTGTAAAGGAGGTCAATTATTGTCAACAAGATAAAATTGATTGGTAATAATTCAGCATAATGTGAAGCAATCATATTTATCCATGCCTCAACACACACAAGGTGGTGTACTGTTATCCAAACATGGAAATACTCTTTTGCTTAAAAGTATTCAAAAGCTGCAATGTTAAACCTATCTTTGATTTGGGTTGCTTTTTTGATACCCCATAGTATAAATACATGAATAGTCAAATACTTGTGACTTTTTATCCATTTCTTACAAAAACATTTTTGTGAAAAACCGCATATGAATAGCTTTATCAAGTTATTGTGAATAGCTTAATAAAGCTATAGAGCTATTTCAAGCTATAATTATATTATATAGCTAAATCAAGAGAATGTATTGGATCTGATAAGTGTTGAGTACAGGCAAAAATTTGCTGCCTCCTGTCATTGGTGGCATCCCAATATAATTGAGAAAATTAGTTTACCTTTGTATACATCCTGCATCAGATTGTCTCTGACAAGATCAAAACAAGAGAGATATTCCTTCTTTTCATGTGCCGACATTTTTCAACAAGTAACCTAAAAAAATTAACTACGTCGCATTTGGCATTCTCTCTTGACTGCTATGATGTTTACTGATTAGGAAATGTTGTCCATCACATGGTAAACGCAATGATATTTTTATTCAATCATTTCAGCATTTCACTCATGTGGGCCGCCATATTGTTAGTACAGAGGAGAATTTTTATTACAAAAATGAAATCGGCTGAAAAAAAGAATTGTTCATTTTCTTTCGTATTAAACATGCGAAAAAATATTTTCATTGCACTTAAGTCGAGCTGAAAAAATAGTTAGGCCTCTAACTATAAGTCTCTCTGCTGAAAACTACAACAAACACACTTCCGGTTTAAGGCAAGAGTTCGTCTGTCAACCTGCTGGAAAAAGATGTAAGAAATTATTTTTTTTTACTGCATTTTGAGAATGGGAATCTTTAGTAGTATTTTATTTTGACTACCTTTACACAAAAGAGGGCACTAGTTCATCCGAGAAATATTTCAGAATTATAAAGCAAAGAAAATTGAAAAGGGGGGAGAGATGCAGTATGATTGATAGTGCATTGTTTTTATAGCCTCAATACTAAGCGCAGTACTAATTAGAATTCTTTACAATGAGAATGAAATGATTTTCTTTAAGACTGATGTTTTTATTATGCATACGTATACTACTTTAACTTATAACATCATAATATTTAACTCAAAAACATGTCAAGCATGTCTTCACATCTAATGAGATGATTGCTAGGACAGAAAAAAGAAACACACTTAAAGACAGAAGTTAACAAATAACACTTAATGCATATGTAAAATTTGTAGGGATGCTAAGAAATTTATATAGTTTACATCAATGTTATAGTCTCAATCTGAATATAAATATGTGTGCCTAAGTTTATTTCTTGCATTGGTGTGCCTGCAGAACTATAGTTCTCTGGAAAAGAAAATGTAGTCAGACCTGTTCTGTCAACAAAAATGATGCACTCAAGCACTAACAGTTTTCAAATTTGTGACATTTCAGAATTATGCATTAAAATACAGATTCTTCTGGAGAACACTAATGTTGCCATGGATAATTGAGTCTAGATGCACTCTTCATGCATGGTTAAAACACATAGGGTGAATTCACCATGCATCGGACACCCTCGCACTTCAACAAGTTCTAGCGATATCGCTACCGACCGAATATTATCAAAATGGAACTTAACATGTAGTATGTGGTTAAAATATAAATTTTTGACACAATTGTGTGCTCTTTATTGAGAAAATATCATTAAAACCCGATTTTTTCGAAATAAGTCAGAATTCACCATGGATCGGACAATATTCACCATGCATCGGACATACGGTATTTTAACCAGAAAAATATCACACCTTGATCTCGGTGCTTTAAAATGAGTGATATCAAAACATTTTTATCTTTTATTAAAAAATTAAACTTCTAGTTAAATTTGAATTACTATTTCGATCCACAAATGTGAAGAGATTTTAGGTGCATCACATCGCCTTAGAAAGGCTTTACAATGCTAGTAATATGGCAACTCGCGCCTTTGTCTCGTGGGTTATCATCATCTAGTTTAAAGAAATAAATTGGGTCCACTTCTAGTCATCATATATCGATATCTTGTATTTTCACTTAAAATTTAGAGTTTTTATTTTCTATTTCCGTAAAAAACAGCTGTCATTTGGGTTTTATATGAGAATGGAAGTGATTACCCATGCATCGGAAAATGTCCGATGCATGGTTAATTTGTGTCCAATGTACGGTGAAATGAACATAATAGTAAAAAACAACTCTAAAAATTATTATACAAACATTGAAGTAGAATTTTTGAAAAATTTCTGTAAAAATATCAATCATTGACAAATTTTACCTAGGCCCGACTCGTTCCGTTGAAATCTATTTAAAAGAGCGACAACTCTAAAAATTACAAAATCGTAAAATTCTGGTTACTCCCCTTTGATGATGCAAAATATGACGTAATTTCAAGGCCATTCTTGTGGTATTTTTATCACAACATGGAAATAAAAATCGGCATCATTAAAAAGTTTAAATCTTCACCTTTAAGACAGAAACAAGTAAAAACACGGGGAGACTCAGGTTCAATGAAAGTTTATTGCTTAAAGTTGTCCGAAGCAAGGTATGTGTCCGATGCATGGTTAACTCACCCTACTTGTAGAAAACATATTTGCTTCTCCAACCTTTAAGTTATGAGATTGATGTTTATGTGTAGTAATAAAGTCTAAAGTCATTTTCGCAGGCCAGGAGTTTTCAGCCTACTGAGCTCACCACAAAACCTTTGGCTGATTGTGCCATTATTTAAAACCGTGTTTGATATTGCATTAATTTTATTCCAAGTTAACCCCTTCCCACCCCTTCGAACCAATGAAAAGACAGCTATCAAAAAAAAAAAAAAAATGAAAGACATACATTCATAATTTGCTGCTTCCTGTTCTTGTTTATCCTAGGTCTCATTTATATTATACCCTCATTTCATCTCTTTTCTCATCCATTGAGAAGCTTGTAGTTCTCCTGTCTTTGCTTTTGTTCTTTTAAAACTCAGTTTCTTGTTTACAATGGATATTACTGGCAGAATCTAAAGTTAAAATTTAGTATGCCTAGTAGATGTTGCTAATATAGTGGCTTAAACTGCCAAGTGGTTGTGGGGACTATTATAGTGGATCGAAAACACTTTAGTTGCAAAGATGATATAAAGTAGTACATGTATATTTTTTTTTATTAATTGTTTTGATCAATCATTTATATTCAATTACATACAATGTTCAAGCAGCTTCTATTACTAAAAAAAATTTATGTATTTTATTTCTTTGAACAAACAAGCTTTCCTTTATCAGTTGTGAACTTCCATGATTGAATCAGTATATGTTTAATATCAGAAACATCTAACATATATTCCCATTGTTGAACACTCTCATCTTTTTAAGTACATACCAATATGTTTAATTTTTAGTTATTTCAATACAATTGGAAGCTTTATCAAGTCATTCTGAATCAGATATTGAAATGTAAATACATGTAAATTTGTAGCACACAATGTAAGAAATTATTGCAAACTTAGTGGTACATTTTTGTAAATGTAAGTGCATCATATTTTTTTCTTTCTTGGAAAAGAGTAGTCTTAAATCTTATGGTTTTCAGTAGATACATAAATCAACTTGTGCACTTTGATCAAATTTTAATGTGTTGTAAGCTGTTTAAGATAAACAATATGTCATTGATGTATGAATGCATTGATGCAGGGCCTTTTAAAACAGTATTGTCTTTGCTACAGTGTCATTTACTTTCGGTCTTATATTAGCTTTAGGTGCAGTGAATTTTTCATCCCCATTTAACGCCTGTAGCAGAGAGTCTCTTTGAACATGAGATATGTGAATAAGAGGACCTATTGATCTTGGTAAGGATATATATGAAGCAGGCTAACAGAATACCACCAACAGTTGCTTGTGGTATTGATATAGTGGAAGTGCATCTGTGCTTTTTGTTAATTGTCTGAAATTCCTCTTCACCAGAAATAGTTGCTGGCTAATTAATATGCACCATATGCACTGGCTTTTGCATGTGAAGAGGCCATATGATAAAAGTATGTGTAATTATTTCTGTTGGAGCATGAAGTGTTACATGTAATTGATTTTTGGCTTGGGGGATAGCTGGTTTATTGATGAGCATCCAGGTAGAGCATGTAAAAAATATTTAGATCCCCCAACATAAGTTCTGATCTTAATTAGATATACTAATTTGAATATCTTATCCTTTCTGAAAAAAAAAATTAAAATCATTTACAGAAGTTTAAAAATTTATTTTCCATGAAAAAATGAATGATTTTAAAGGAAAGATTCCGTAAGGGTTCAGTTTTAAGTCAGCTAGGACTTTCTGATCATGTCTTCTAAAACCTTGTTTTTTAATATTGGTCAGTAAAGATGACAGAAATCTGCTTTATGGTTATTCCTTTTGTATGAAAGTGACCAACCATAATTAATGCTGTCTTTGCTTTATGGGGTAAAAACATTATTATGATTTAAACTGTCACTGAAAAGATTGACCTGCCAGCTACTATCAGGAACAAAGACAAATATGACAATAGCACCTTTAAAGATATTATCTGAAATTTTTAGAATTCCTTATCCTTGCTGATACAGCCTAGCACTTTCTCATTTTTAAATACATTTTGTACAATTGTAACAGGAAAAGCATTAAGGTTAAGTGGAGAAATAAAGCTATTAAGAGGTATATATATATAAAGACTAATAAGATATTTTTATAAAAAAAGATATTATTTTCTCAGTTGAAAATTTCCTCTGATGCACCATTTGATGCTTGAGTTTAAATACCGGTACTCTTTCATTGTTAATAAATGGTTTGCTACAGCTCTTATATTGTGACCAAAAAAATTAAATCAGATTTTTTTTTTAGGAACTGGACGGGTGAGCCACAGGGGAATCACTATAAGGTAAGACTAGAACAACTTCCGCTTTATTTAATGTTTTATATCAATAAATCCTGATGAACAGTCAATTTATTACATAAGATTGGTAATGGAACAATATCATGTTTTGAGGTTTGTTTTTCTGCATGCCATTGAATGGTTGATATCAATTATATCTTAATTGTGATAAATTACTCTTAACATTCCATTATTGTCATTTTGGGGATGCAATCAATAATTTCATTAGGTACAAACTGCTGATTTTTACAGTTCCTAGATGACTTGTTATTGGTGTATTGTAGCTTGCTATATAGGAAGTCTCCCTGCTATTGTCAGTGGCAGGTTCCTCTTTGGCTCCAGTGTTCTTCAGTTGGCCAGCTAAATTAGTTTGTTTGGTATCTTTGCTGGGGAAGACAGGGAACTGCTTCTCCATCTATATGATGATATTTAATGGCTGGATGGGTTACAGCGGCAATCAGATCCCCAAGATTGGGAGATAGATCCCACCAGGATAAGGTGTTCCTACCAAGATTAAAATTGTATGAATTACAAATTATTCTGATACAATCTGTCTTGGGGCAGTTTCTTTGAAGTGGACTAGACATTGACTAATTTTCACTTGGGTCTGGATTTTTTATATCATAAGGTGATATCTTTTTATGCAGCGATTTGCATACAATACCATTTTTAAGTTCAAAAGTTTGATTAGGAGTCCTATAAGTATAGGAATCGCATTGTCTGTCTGTCTGTCTGTCTATTTAGCTGTACATCTTTCTGTCGACATATTTGTTGTGTTGCTGGGTTAACTGAAATAGTTTTCAAATTTTATACATGAATGCTTTACTTTAAGAGAAAGACACCTGTAGGTTTGGGGGTCACATCACTTTGTCTGTCTGTCTGTACATATGTTTGATTGTGTATATATACATGCCACTTTTATTGTGATGCCATAACTCAAACAGTTTTCAGCATAACATTTTGAAATTTTACACAGAAGTACTTTTCTATAAGAGGAAGACTCTTAATATAAGGCCAAACAAAAAAATATGTGTGGTTCCGGTTACACTTCCAAAAAAATTAGGGTAGGTAGATAGGGATTTTTTTTTTTTTTTTTTTTTTTTTTTTAACAAAATGATTTTCTTAATTTTTTCTAAATAATACCTATCACTGCTTTGCAAATGGCATTTAGATGTGGTGTGATAATATACTAGTCAATATTGGTAGGGGACACATACATGCTAGCTTGCTTTGGATTTAACACTATTAAACACTTGCACTATGTTTTGCAAGGAGGCCGTCATTGCTGAAACTAAAACTTAAACTGGAGCTATTGATGGAAATCGGGGGAAATTCCGCGAAAAATATGAAAATTGCCAAAAAAAAGTTTAGGGTCGGGGGTATAAAATAGGGAAGGTCGGGTAACCGAAACCACACATATTTTTTTTATTTGGCCTAAATTAAATGATCATATCACATTGTCTGTCTGTCCATGTGTATGTCTGAATGTATATCTATCATGACACAATAACTCAGTCACTTTTCATCATAATTCAAATTTTATACAGGAAAAATTGGTAATATTAGGAAGACACCTTTTAATTTTGAGGTTCACTGTCCTTCTGTCTATCTGTCCATCAACACCTTTACTGTAAGGTTAAAACCTGGAAGTATTGAACCTAACATTTTTTAAATTTTGAACATGAGAAAAAAAAACCCAATACATTTTGGGGGTAATGTTGCTTTGTCTGTCTGATTGTCTGTCTTACTGTATTCCTACACTTGTCACTTTCCTATGACAGCCCTTAGCAGGACCCTTTCTTTTTCATTTAACTAGGAAGTTTTTTTTTTAATAGAAAAAAATCGTCTTATTCAATTAAAATTGGACTTTAAAGGACATCTATGTGGTCAATTACTTTGCTGTATGTTCCTTTGCTTAAATCTAGATTTTTTCTTTAATTTGATTTTTTTTTCTCTTTGAATTCTTTTTAATTAGAATTTTTCCATAAATTTACCAAATTAAATGTAGAAAGTTAGACATGTAGATGTTTTGTTGAAGCAGGAATTCTGAGTATTTTAGCAATAATGAGATTTGAAGAGCAGTTGACAGTGGATGCAGAATCAATATTGCATTCTGTATTCCATGTTTATTGTAGTTATTTTATGAATTAGTTTTAAATGGCAAAAGACAGTAATTTGTTTTATTAGTCCATATTGTTACATAAAAATGTTGGACCAGGATTCCCACAAACCGACTAATGACAAGGCAATTAAAGCAAAATTTATCTAAATGACAACGTGTTGACTCAGGACCTCTGGCTTGCGAGGATGCAGATGATTAGGTTACACATGTTTTCATCACCTCTGAGATTTAATTATGAAGTTCATAACATTTTGGTAAAATAAAAAATACATGAGGCTGTGGTCTAAGAATGTTAATTATTAAAGCTTTTGCTAGCTAGTATGTCATTGTATATATTATATCCACAATCAGTATATTTAGCTAGCACATTCAGATCATGTGGTTCATGGGAGGGAGAAAAGTTCAGAAGATCAATGGAAATGGAAGCAATTATTGTGAGAGGGCAAGAAATTACCAAAACCCTGAAAATATCATTTTGTGGTTTCTTCTTTTTTTATCCACAATGGTTTTGATGGAGAACTGCATGTTACTGGGAGTTGTAAGGAACACATTGTATGTAGATTATTATGGGGCTTGCGGTCAGTGCCCCCTCAAAAATACCGAGGGATCTTTATGTATTGATGAATTATATGCAATCCAGACCTGTGTGTGTTGTGTGTAAGAAGTGGAATTAATAGGCAAGGGTTGGTGTTTGGAAAGACCAGTGGACATTGATTTTGCCTTAGTCAAGATGTGGTGATCTATCACAGATTACTCTTTTGGTGTATCAATAAGACAGTTTAATAGTTCCTGTGATAACACATTCAAGATAGATTCCAGTAAAGGAGATTTGTCAATCATTAATTCTCTCTGCATATATTAATACCCAGAAGACTCTAACCAGTTAGAAATAGAATGCCTTGAGTGTAGTTATTGCAGCCACTGTTTTATTAACTTTAAGAAGTTTTGGATAATTTTCAATATAAGCTCTGCTGCCAAGGAAAATTCTAGGCATTGTGTAAGAGTTTAGGATAGAATATTTGACTTTGTATATATATTGTGAAAGACTTCTGCAGCTTTGTAGGAGAGATGGATAAAGTGATTCAGTGTTGGGAGGTTATCTCCAGAAGGCACTGAGATTCTGAGGACATCATGTCAAAGGACAAATCAGAGGAGGTGCCAACCCCCCCAGCCCTGGACGGGGTGGAGTGGAGGGAGCGGTGCCTGTCTCTAGAAGCCTCCTTACAACAGTTTAAACACCAGGTGGCCCGCATCAGGGAAACCCTGGGAGAAAAGGTAACACAGAAGTTTTTACAGACTATGTCAGCTTATTTTTACTTGTCTGGCTTTGAATTATCAGTTAATTTGTGTATGTACTTCTTTTTATGAATTATTGAAATTTGAATATATAAACCATGTACTATACCTACTATACCTACCTAAAAACAGGCTTATTTGGACTGCAATGATTTTTTCCCCAAGATGTTTAGACTATGGAAAGTATTCTTTTACTCAGAGCTTTTATATGTACAAAAAATGTGCACCTGATTTTTGTTTAAAAAAAGAAGAAGAAGAAATTTCCTGTTTAACATTATATATGCACCTTTTAGTACACAGAATTAAAGTTAACAATATGAAACAAGAAAGAATATATATAAGACAGATATTGTAATCTTTTGGTATTCAAACCTTGAAAATATGATGATTGTGTGTAACATGATTTATCATATTTACTTTCGATTTAGAACATAATCTTGATGGTTTGAATAAAGGAAAAATTATGTTGCCTCTATTCACTGAGAATGTGTGTATCTGATCAGAGGTATCAATTGTCTCTTCAATTTATTGATATGGGCATTTCCCTGATTGACCATTACGTCTACTGGAGTCTATCTATATGCTCTTTAGACCCATGAATAGAGTTCAATAGTGCAAAATGTTGTAAATCTCCAATATCTGTAATATCATTTACCAAAAATATCACAGTCAATATAACAGAAAAAGATCCAACTGACTCCAGGGAAGAGATGTAATCAGGTTTAAAAAATACTTGTTTAATGAATTTAAATTATTGATAATAAAATAAATCTCTCTCCTATTAACTGAATTCAGTTTATAATTAGTTTATGTTAATTTAAGATTAAATATAAAACATTTTGACAGTATTGAGAGATACATTAGCAATGATTATAGAATACAGTTTTAAAAAATTAGTTGAATAGTCCATCTTGTAAATTTTATCATCAAAAAGTCTCTCTCTCCCTTTCTTTCTTTCTCTCTCTCTTTCTGTAAATTGTTCTCCTGATTAGCTGTATGAACTGCTTCTCAAGAGACATGGGATTATTTGTCTTTAGACAGATGGTATAATGGGGTTCTGTGAAATCGTAACTTTGTAGTCTTACAGTTGTCATAGCAGTGCCTAATATATTGAACCTTACACTCATATTTCTCAATGCATGCACAGAAACCTGACATGTAATGAGAATGCAGAAATAAGATTTTGACAATGTTATCAGCTAAAGGGATTACTCCCACTGATAATGTTTACACATGGAAGGATTTCAATCAACATTTTCTCTCTATTTCATGACTCAGTTCAAAAAAGGTCAAGCTGACCAAAGAAGACAGCATTCTTTCATAGCCTGCAGTTTGATAATGGAGGATCTCCTTTTAATAATTCCATCAATATTCTGTTATTAGCTTCATAGCAGGCCAGCTATAGTGTTATTGGAAATATTTTTCATGCCTTTCATCTTTTGGTCCTATCATCTATATCTGTCATGGAAAGAGATTAATTTGGTGTTACAGCAGTGTTTGGAGATGTGTTGTCTAGTTGATATTTCTAATTATGCACATCACACTGGTTAGATAATGAAAAACGTAAATCATTGTGGTGAAGTTGCTGCTATGACAGTCTGCACTATTTATGATGGTGTATATTTGTAGATTTTTTGTCTTTCAGCGGGTTAGAAAGAAGAAAATTACTCACCAGATTTGCCTCGGTGGGAATCTTGACAAAATAAGATAACGTTTTGTGAGAAATTTTCCCACGAGACAATTATAAAAAGAAAATTGGTTTAGCTGATATTTTTAGTATAAATAATATTAAAACTTAATTGTATTTTTTTTTTTAAAATCTCATAAAATATGGATATGGCATCATTAGGAAAAAGAATTGAAAAAAAAAGTATTTCAGTAGAACAAATGAGCTATGAAATAAAATGTAATTTAAATGCATACATATAATAGTAATGGATCTAAAGGGGGAGGGGTTATGGGGATTGCACCCCAGAAATTTAAAAATTTCACATACATAACTACTCAACAATTCTTCATCCACAAAATCAAAACCCCATGAACGGTCATCCATAGTTTTTCATCAGACCACGAAAATTAGACCCCATGAAAATATGTGAATTTACAGTATTCATGTTTAAAGCACTGTTTCTTTTTGATTATAATTGGATCATAAAAAAATCAATTTTTTAAAAATAGTTATGATATAAGCATAGTTTACTTATTGGGCCTCTTCTACAAAGCAATATAAAAATTTGCAAAAATTGATTTAAAAATGTGTCTTTTGAAAAGCTGATTTTAATACATGTACAGCTGTTTTGATTAACTCAAAATGAATGAAGCTATTATTACCCCCTTTCCCCTCCCCTATGACATATATTGAGATATATGATACATGTAAAATTATATTGCATAATTTTTTAACATAATCAAGTCATTATGTTGTTGATCATGAATACTCCTATAAACTTATTTAATTGGATTCTTGAAATTCCTAGCCTAGATGTGTACCAAGTTTATTGAAATCGTACTAAAACTGTAGGGGAAGCATTTTGATAGAATGTCACTGAAATTTTAAATTTTAGAAACCATGGCAACATCATTCATGGAAATCAAGAACCAATACACAGATCTGTGTATATTGTTATATGCCTGTAGGCCATATTTATTAAAATGGGGCTTAAATCATTGGAGTAGAAGCATTTAGAAAATTGTTCATAGACTCACAGACAGATAGATGGGCAATGGACATCTTACCATCACATAAGCTTTTATGGTCTTTGACCAGTATACTAAATCCAAAGAAGTTATAGAAAATTTTGTTTCAGTCAATCAGAGCCAAGAACACATATAAGCACACACTTTCATGCTTTTTCAATCATATTGTCTTGTGTAGACTTTTTGTATTTGTGATTACACATTGTCAAAGTACAGTGTATTTCATAAAAAATATGAAAGTTGAAGTTAATTGAATTAAAAGTCAAACCTTGTTATCTCAAACTCTATGGGACTAAGAAAAATCTTCAAGATATCAAAGGATTCGAGATATAGAGGTTTAAAAAGTTCAAAATACCAATTTTCAACTGTATATCAGTCATTTCACTCATCACTTGCACACCTTGCGCACAATATGACATCAGTTCAACTCATCCACATAACATGCCTACTAACCCTGAAAAAGTTTCTTCTCAATCAGAAGAGTACTTTCTGACAAGACTTGCAGACAAATAAGTAAAATAGATCAGTGTCCAAGAAATTATGTACAAAAAATTTTGAATAAGAAGAAAAAAACAGTAGAATCATTATTAGGTTTTCTACCCTAGTTACATGTATTATAACAAGCATTCTGAGAGTATTGCATTAGCAATACTAGTTCCCTACTGGCAAGTGTAATCTGGTTCCCGTTAAAAATTGAAAATGCCATACTTCCATCAAAAATCATTGAAGCGGGACAAAATGCAAACTTGAACTATAACTCATCAAGGTTAAGTCACATGCCAAAAATCAGCTCAATATCTACAAGCGTTTAGAAGAAAATCACAGAAAACCCTTAAAAATTGAAAAGGTCTTAATTCCGTCAAAAATCAATGAAGCTGAACAAAATGCATACTTGATCTGTAACTCATCAAGATCCACTCACATACCAAAAATCAGCTCAATATCTGCAAGCGTTTAGGAAAAAAGTGCGGAAAACCAAGTGGGACAGACTGACAGACAGACGGACAGACTCAGAGGAAACCTATAATCCCCTCCGGTTTCACCGGTAGGGGACTAATAAGGGGAGAGTTAAAATGATGTTCCCAAAATTTTGTTTTAGAAACATAACTTATGATTGTTTCAAGTAATCTTTGTGCATATTTTCTTACAATTTCCCTCTACTTAATTTTTTTTTACTCAATTTAAAAAAAATGTACCTGAATTTGTTTTTGCCACCTTGATCTGTATTGACTTTAACAGTGACAGGAAACAGGGTTTATATGACAAAGCTGTCACTATCATGAAGTCCTATCTTGTTTCTGTGGTGCCTTACATCTGTTTGTTACAGAAGTAATAATGATGAGGAGGCAGATGAAAGTCATCCCCTATTATCTTACTACATGTATCTTCTGGAGTAGAGAGTTTGGTCTTTGATGTTTTCTTGAATATTTTCTCCAAGCACTTCATATGTGAATAGATATATACAAGTAAAAAGAACCATAGAAAAATGTCCCATACACACCTATAGTTTAAAACACCATGAAGGTCACATATCTATTTTAGACCCCTCTTCCAGTTAAAAGTAATGCAGAGTAAAGTTTTGTAATATTGCATTTTCTTTAGTGGGAAGTCAATTTTACACATCTTTCTCAACATCAAGAAAATCTTTATGTTGCTCTGAGGAAAATATACTGATATAGTAGATATTTCTTCAATTCCAAAGATAACATTCTTTTTTAAATCGGTCATGGGAAACACCACATGATGTGCACAAAACTTGATGTATCATCATGGAACAATAACAAAAAACAAATTCATTATTGTCTACTAGGGCAAAAAAAAGTAAACAATAATGAGGAGCCCTCTGATACGGAATTTTGTTTGCCATGGTCTGGCCCTAAGCCAGATTAAACTGAACGGCATAAAGGCTGCCTGTCTTGGTGTGGCACTAAAAGAGATTGGCCTGCTTCAGGATGCTGCAAGGTTTTCGATTTCTGTAACCTTAGAACTTGCTTTTTTTTCAACTGTGTGGCATTCACAACGACACCGAAATAATGGCTCAGTTTCCCAGAATTCCCCGTGGGCATTATGTGTGGGTATGTTACTTTTGATGTTGGAAAACAAGCTATGTTATCATCAATGTTGAATATCATAGTTTAATTGATTGTTGATAATTGTAATTGCAGGAACCTTTTATTTAAAAGAAGTTATATTGGTTAATTGTGTCTTTTGGGGATATAATACATGTAATATATGCTGCAAATTACTATATAGCTAACCTTATTGGCACATAAAAAAATGAA